AAATTGACGCTATGGCAATTGGCAAAGATTTCCGTCAAACTCAGATAATTGATCGAGCCTCCACCTCAGCTTGGAGATGGATAAATTCTTAGGCTAGGGAACTATGTATATGGGTAACTGACCAATTGTGAGGTCAAGATGGCTGGATGTTTACGGACCGAGACGGAGCGGCCAAGGTCCATAGACGCGACAAAAAAGAACGAGGCCAATATCAAGCCATATTGACCGAACAAACTTGGTCAATAAATGACTTATTATATGGGGAAAAGAACAAACTTTTCTCTCGGGACACAGCGCATAACCAGAGCGGGAGGATCGCGACATCTTGCCCGCGCGGGCAACCAATCCCAGCGAAGGAGTTTGTTTATCTTGCCCGATTATCGAGCTAGTCATGTATTAAATCCGGTTATTGACACCAGGCAAGGTAGTGTATAGAGAAGTTTAGCGTTTAAACTCCATGACAGTTGATTTCCGCGAGAAAACGTGTGGATATCCTTAAAAACTGAACCAAAATGTGTCGTTTTCTTGAAAATCAAACGCTGTGAAAGGTATGTCCTGATTTTGTCCATTGAAAAGCTCAAACTAAAACATAACCGGACCTGACTCCATCACAGGTCAGCCCTCAGTACTCTGGCAGCTTTCCCTAGCAGATCGGTGGTATCCATTTACACCGGCACCTAGCTGGGGAGAGGCACTGAGAGCTAACAACAACTCAACATAATTACCTTAGCCGTCCCTTGGCCAGCGCACCCAAAAAATCGCACAAAATAGATTGGTGAAGGAGAAAATTCTTTCGCTCTGATTGGATAGAACGTTTTGAAAACTCAGCAAAATTGCTTCTAAAATTTAAGAATGTTCGCGGTTTAACTTGACTAACAATAGGAAAATTATTTTGTAACGGCTCGCTAGGTGCAAGAATGTACTGTGTTATGCCTCACAATAGTAACGCCTACCTCACACCAGTAACGTAACGGCAAGGTCACGCAAACTGATGTTTTAGTGCCCTGCAGCGTGAACAACACAACATAGCGACATAACAGTAGCATAATGACATAGGGAAAGGCTAATCTTTTCTACCTGTTGATATGTCCACATCATGTCGTTATGCTGTTAGTGTAATCACTGTAAACAGGACCCCATCACTAGGAGCGTGCATCTTCCATACTAAGCCTATGTCACGGCATTTTCACAGACTGCTCTATTTTTTGGCTTCTTTTCCCGCGAAGTAGGTCAGTTCCGGTCTACATGAGCGCTCATCGGTAAGGAAAAAAGGGCGGCCTCAGGTGGACATACTAAATACATAAAATTAAGTCCGTGCTTGTGATTGGTTACTGAGGCTCCTGCGGGGATCTGAATTCGCGCTAAATTATGTGAAAACGCTGTGACAGGAATATGGGGTAGTTGCACACTCCTAGTAATGGGCTCCCACTGTAACTTATTCAAGAATCATTCAAGGCATCCTTGTCATGTACATTTTAGTTTATTTTGTCAGCAAAAGTTCAGAATGTACGGGGAAACATAACGAGCTAAATTTGTTAGAAATTCATCTGAAACCACCATGGCCACGAAAGAA